AAGCACGGGGACTTGTGTTTGGATCCTCCAGTGCCCATATAAAAAGTCGCCACAGTGTGTGCCTATAACTAGGGAGGATCTGAGAGTGGGCAGACAGACAGATCCTGGGGGAATCACTGGATATTAGATCACACTGTGAATGCTGAGATTACATTATTTACTGGAAAACCTGTTTCTAGTTGTTGTGTGACAAAACCCTAGCACATACCTTTAATCCAAGAGCTTTCTGCTTGAATACTGCAAACAGGATTAAATAAAGTCAGCATAGTTTAAGAGGTGGAGTATGAAAGAAACCAGCTGACAAGAAAAAAACATAGAGAGCAAGTGTCGGCACGGCATTCCTCTTTTCCGGTCCTTTGCACACTGCTGGATGAGTCGTGTATGGTTGGGGAGGCAGTGCCATTCTAATCTTCCTTCTTCCTGAACATAACTCCAGTAGCACAGACACTGAGAGCAACAATTAATAACTGGGACCTCCTGAAACTGAGAAGCTTCTGTAAAGCAAAGAACACAGTCAACAAGACAAAATGGCTCCCTACAGAATGGGAAAAGATCTTCACCAACCCCACAACTGACAGAAGGCTCATCTCCAATATATACAAAGAACTCAAGAAACTAGACATCAAACTACCAAATAACCCAATTAAAAAATAGGGTACAGATCTAAACAGAGAATTATCAACAGAACAATCTCAAATGGCTGAGAGACAACTAAAGAAATGCTCAACATCCTTAGTCATCAGGGAAACACAAATGAAAACCATTCTGAGATTCCATCTTACACTGATCAGAATGCCCAAGATCAAAAACACCAATGACAGCTTATGATGGAGAGGATGTGGAGAAGGGGGAACACTCCTCCATTGCTGGTGGGCATGCAAACTTGTACAGCTGCTGTGGAAATCAGTATGATTTCTCAGAAAATTAGGAATCAACCTACCTCAAGACCTGCAATACCACTTTTGGACACATTCCCAAAGGAGGCACATTCACACCACAAGGACATTTGCTCAACTATGTTCATAGCAACGTTATTTGTAATAACCAGATCTTGGAAACAACCTAAATGCCCCTCAAGTGAAGAACAGATAAAGAAAATGTGGTACATTTACACAATGGATTACTACTCAGCAGTAAGAAACAATGGCATCCCAAAATTCGTAGACAAATGGATAGAATTAGAAGAAAACCATCCTGAGTGAGGTAACCCAAAACCAGAAAGACAATTATAGTATTTATTCACTCATAAGTGGATACCAGACATAAAGCAAAAGATACCCAGCCTACACTCCATAACCTTAACGAAGCTAGAACCCTCTTCCAGAAACAGATGGAAGCAGATGCAGAAATCCACAACTAACCAATGTGCCAAGCCCCTGGAGTACAATTGAAGTGAGGGAGGAGCGATAATATGAACAAAGGAGTCAAGACGATGATGGGGAAACCCACAGAATCAGCTGACCTGATGGAGGGAGAGTCTGACAAAGGAGGAACCTGCATAAGACTGAACCAGACTTCCTTAATGTAGGTGACAATGGTGAAACTTGCAGTGGGTCTAAGATCTAACACTAATGCACAAACTGACTTAGCGGAGCCCATTCTATATGGAGAGACACCTTGCTCAGCCTAGACACAGGGATGTGTGGGGTGGGGAGGTACCGTGGTCCTGCCTCAACCGATGATGGGACAGACTTAGTAGACTTCCTAGGGAAGGTCGTACCCTCTCTAAGGAGCAGATGGGAGGTGACAGGAGAGTGGGACGAGTGAGGTAAAAAAAAAATATGCAAGGGGCGAGATTGCTCATCAGGTAAAGGCACTTGCTGATGACCTCAGTCTCGTCCCCAGGCCCCACATGATGGAAGCAGAGCACTGACTCCTTTAAGTTGTCCTCCATGTGTAAGACTTACAGGACAGAACGACCACCACACCACACTGAAGACAGAAGACAAGGCTTTATTGAGGTCCAAACTCCGAGGCTGTCTCTGAGAGATGAGAGCAGCCCCGCAAAAGTGAGGTTGGGTTTTTAGAGGATGGTTTTAAGTTGGGGCAGGGGTGGCAGGAGAGCAGCAGCAGGGGTGGGAAATGCTGCAAATAAACTGTTGTAGACAGAGACCCCCTCCCCAAGACAGAATCTCTCTGTGTAGTTTTGAAGCCTGTGCAATGGAGCTCACTCTGTTGACCAGGCTGGCCTCAAATCACATAGATCCGCCTGCCTCTTCCTCCCAAATGCTGGGATTAAAGGTGTGTGATACCACCGCCTGGCTGTAAACAGAAATTCTTGAGGAAACCTCTGGGCATTAGGATAATAGTATTGGATCTCATTCCTGAGACACACAGAAAATAGTTTTTATCTCCTTGAAGGCACTGGTTCTCTCTCTCTCTCTCTCTCTTTTTTGTTTTTTTTTTTTTTTTTGTTTTTTCGAGACAGGGTTTCTCTGTGGCTTTGGAGGCTGTCCTGGAACTCGCTTGGTAGTGCAGGCTGGTCTCGAACTCACAGAGATCCACCTACCTCTGCCTCCCAAGTGCTGGGATTAAAGGCGTCACTGGTTCTCTCTTAAGCAGGTACTTGGGCCAATCTAACATTTCACATACAAAGAGGCATGTATATGTACTAAGTAAATGTAAAAATAAATACATTAATACCCATTTTATGAGGAAGAACTTGGAAACTGTAGATATTCTACTAACCTTTCTTTCTTTCTTTCCTTTTTGTTTTTTGAAACAGGGTTTCTCTGTGGCTTTGGAGGCTGTCCTGAAACTAGCTCTTGTAGACCAGGCTGGTTTTGAAGTCACAGAGATCCACCTGCCTCTGCCTCCTGAGTGCTAGGATTGATGGCACGTGCCACCACCACCCCACTCTAAAGTTCTGTGGACAGAACTTTTGTGCCTCTCAAAACACTTGTGTTGAGGTCCTAGCGCCTGGTGTGATGGCATTTAGGGATAGAGTAGTTGGAGTTAAATGGGGTGGGGCACTCACAATTCGATTAGTGCCTTTATAGGAAAAAGAAAGGGAGAATGCCACTCCTCTGGAGCAAAGACAAAGGATTATATAAGCACCCAGTGATAAGGCAGCGTCTTGAATATCCTGTCACTTCAGCATTTATGTCTCCAAAGCTGTAAGCAAAAAAAATTGTGGTTGTTTGCAATGCCATTCCCAGCTGGGTGGCGGTGGTGCACACCTTTAATCCCAGCACTCAGGAGGCAGAGGCAGGCGGATCTCTGTGAGTTCAAGACCAGCCTGGTCTACAAATCGAGTTCCAGGACAGTCAGAGCTGTTACACAGAGAAACCTTGTCTTGAAAAACAAAAAACAGCAACAACAAAAACCACCAAAACAAACAAAACCCAAAATGAAATAAAACAAAATAACCACCATTCCTTTGTATTGTGTGACGGAAGGTCTGTGCTAATTCATCACCACCAGTGGGCTTTGAGAGCCCTTCCAATTGGCTCATATGTCCTTCTGAGCTAGTCTCATCTCCCGTTCAGTTCCCTTCATTTTCCAGAATAATAGATTCCAGTCCTACCATGTACTTTCCATGGTCCAGGCCTAGAACAGGTTGTCCCCCCCCAAAGAACCTAGTTTGATTTAGGAGCATGGTATTTAGAAGTCAAGATTTGGTGCTAAACATGTCCCCCTACTATTGGATGTCAGTGCTCCAGGCTGCTGGATGCACACACAGCCATCTAGACTATTTTTTTTTTTTTTGGTTTTACAAGACAGGGTTTCTCTGTATTGTTTTGGAGGCTGTCGGTCCAGCCCGGCCTCGAACACACAGGCCTGTGAGCTGCCCAGTGTCGGCACTAAGAACCAAATTCTGGTTCTCTGCATGAGCAGTATGTGCTCTCTCCAGCCCCTAGCTATATTTTCTGAAATCTAGGAGTTTACACTGTTGAATATGAAATCCAATTTAACACTACTGCATCTCCTCCTATATTTGTATTTCTTTTTTTTTTTCTTGTTTTGTTTTGTTTTTCAAGACAGGGTTTCCCTGTGGCTTTGGAGGCTGTCCTGGAACTCCCTTTGTAGACCAGACTGGCCTCGAACTCAGAGATCTGCCTGCCTCTGCCTCCCAAGGGTTGGGATTAAAGGCGTCCACCACCAACACCCAGCTTATTTTTGTATTTCTAATTCTTTTATATTTGTAATCTAGCAGTGAGAAAATGGCTTCCTTAATATGCTTACCTACTGCCGGGCATTGGTGGCGCACGCCTTTAATCCCAGCACTCGGGAGGCAGAGGCAGGCGGATCTCTGTGAGTTCGAGACCAGCCTGGACTACCAAGTGAGTTCCAGGACAGCCTCCAAAGCCACAGAGAAACCCTGTCTCGAAAAAACAAAACAAAACAAAAAAATATGCTTACCTACTGTGCCAATGCTCTTTCTGTTTTATTTTTGTTTTCTGAGACAGGGCTCCTTGTGTAGCCTTGGCTGTCCTAGAACTAGCTCTGTAGACCAGGTTAGCCTCAAGCTAACAAGAGATTCACCTGCTCCTACCTTCTGAGTGCTGGGATGAAAGGTGTGTGCCACCACCGCTGGCTGGTCAACCCGTCTTTATATAAACATGGGGATGGTTGAGCGAGCATGAGGACCTGAGTTCGTTCACAGCATCCGAATACAAAACTGGGGAGGGAGACAGGCAGGTGCCTAGGGCTTGCTAGTAAGGCAGCCAGCCTAGCTGATCTGGTAAATTCCAGGTCCCAGTGAGAGACTTTGCCTCTTGTGGTGGCCAGAAACACTTGTATTCTGACAAGAGAGTGCCACTGCACTCACACACTTACGGCAGCTGTGGTTACCTGTCCAAGACCTGCACAAGATCAAGCCAGGGAAAAATCCAGCAAGGATGGAGGAGGAAGAGCTCATGAGCCCCACCCCTAGCTCCAGTTCTTATGGTAACCGAGTTGCTAAGAAGGTGGATGGCTGGAGGGTCTCGAACAGAGTATGTAGTGAGGCTTGTGTCGAGGGAAGTCCACATGAGGAAGGAAAGCCAAAACCACTGGCACCAGGTACAAACATTTTATTTTTCTATAAAGAACGAAGTACAAAGAGGCAGGGGAGGGGAGCTAGGCCCAGAGCAGCAGCAGGCAGACCCGAGCCCTGAGTTGGCAAAGGAGGCTTCGGCGCTACCCTGGGATTTCACCAGGGTAGCTTGATGGAGAAGACGCCAGGGGAGGTGTGGGGAAGCCCAAGATGGCCAGAGGTCACACAAAGCCTGGCTTCATGGAGGAGCGGCGGCAGTTGGGGCAACTCCGAGGGCCGTTGTTCTGCAGACATCTGTGGAGGCAGAGGGCTCTGTGCACTCACCCAAGCCAGACTTTGTCCAGGCTCTGGCTTGTGTCTTCCTCCCTTCCAGTCCAGGGTGGCTATGCAGTGGCAAATAAGGCTCTCGGGGCCTCCCGCTCCCTTCCCGCTTGCCCTGCACCAGAGGCTTCCAGGCTAGGGCCAAGTTGGCATCTCCTGCCACCCCAAGGCAAGCCTGGTCCTGGAAGGGGTCTCTCTGAGTTCCCCTTGGCACGATGGCAAGAACAACTCCCCTCCTGAGGCTGGAGGGAAGTTCTTAGAACACACCAAGGCCCAGGAAGGCACCCAGGAGTTTCCCCTTAACATTAATAGTGTGATCGGGGGTCGTGCCCACCCAGCGAAGGCCTCACCTGAGGTGAAAGATGTGGGAGCAGGGCAGGGCCTGCAGCCGGCTGTTCTTCTCCCCGATGGACTCACCACACAGGCCGCAGTAGAGCTCAGTCTCCTCCACACACTCGTGGAACCTCACTACGTGCGCGCGCAGCTCCCGCTGCAACCCTTTGCTGCGGTAGATGCTCTCACTCAGACAGTGCAGCTTGAGCTGGCTCAGCTAAGACGGTGGGGACAGATGGTGGGGACAGACCCCGTGAGAGGCTAGACAGACCGCAGGACTAGGAAGGTGCTGTTCTGTCACACCCCCGCCTTGCTGTGGGGTCTGGGAGAAACACCCTGCCTACTCCGAGCCTTGGATTCCCTTTGGGCAGAGTGGGTGAGATGAGAGACGAGAACGTGGGACCCCCCCCCGTTTTGTCTTGAGATAGGGTCTCACATATACAGCTTTGACTGGCCTCAAACTATATAGTCGTGGCTAACCTAGAACTCCTAATCTTTCTGCCGCCACCTCCCAAGTGCTGGAGGAGGTATGCCCCCCACCCTACCAAGTTTCTGAAGGATTTTATTGACCAAACCTGCTGCTGCGTTGCCTCTACAAGAACTAATTTGCTTCCTTATTGTTACTGAGTACTCATTTCTGACAGTGTGATAGCCCGGATAAATGTGAGCAGACTGTGGTCCAGCCCAATGCAAACATACTTCAAAATCTTAGTTGGGCTGCACACCAGAGCCTACAGAGATGCATGTTTTCTGGAAGACTTTGGGAAGCTCTAAGCTTTCTCCAAGGAGTTAAGATCTGGATACAGCTGAGACATCTGAAGAAGCTACTTATACTATGGCCTTTAACATTAAGACACAGCAGCTGGTACCTGGGGGGAGGGCGGCTAGGGCTTCATCTATCCCATGAGATCACTCACAGGGAAGACTGCAGCCAGTATCTATGAGGATACCCAGTCCTTGATACAAAGTACCAAGCTCTTGAGGAGTAGAGGACATTGTTAGGGTTGGCATTTTGCTTTTATTTTTAAGATTTTTTTTTTGGTTGTTGTTGTTTTTTGAGACAGGGTTTCTCTGTGTAACAGAATTGACTGTCCTAGAACTTACTTTGTAGATCTGCCTGCCTCCATGCCTCCTGAGTGCTGGGACTAAAGGTATGTGCCACCAATGCCTAGCTCATTTTTAAAATGTGTGCAAGAGCCGGGCGTTGGTGGCGCACGCCTTTAATCCCAGCACTCGGGAGGCAGAGGCAGGCGGATCTCTGTGAGTTCGAGGCCAGCCTGGTCTACAAAGTGAGTTCCAGGACAGCCTCCAAAGCTACAGAAAAACCCTGTCTCGAAAAACCAAATAAAATAAAAAAATGTGTGCAAGTATTTTTGCTTGCATATATGTATGTGTGCCATGTGCATGCCTTGTGCCCATGGGAAAGATGGCTAACCCATGGAACTGAAGTTACAGATGCTGTGAACTGCCATGTGAGTGCTGAGACCCGAATTCAGGTCCTCCAGAATATCAGGTAGCTCTTAACCACTCAGCCATCTCCAGCCCGTTACAGGTTTAAATGAAGAATAAAGAGGCTACTCAGTGCTTTTCCAAGCTACAGAATGTCTGCACAGTCCCAGAAATATTCCCTGGGAGGAAGCTGGAGATACAGGGGGTTAAGATGGCTGCAAGTACCTTCCAGCTGGTCAGGAGCTCGGGGCCCTAGCTGGGTCTCATGAGTCCCAAGCTGGCTTCCAACTCACTATGTAGCCAAGGACAACCTTGAGCTCTGATTATCCTGTTTCTTTCACCGAGTGGTGCGATTACAGGTGTGAGCTGCCACCCCTAACTTTCCTCCTTTGGTTCTCAATCCCAGACCCAGGAGACAGTCATGTCTAACCTTATTTCCAACCTCTTCAGCCAGGTCCTGGGCTTTCTCAATGGCATCCAAAGCCTGGAAGGTGAGCAGAGGTCAGAGTTGTAGGCAGTCTGACTACCTTGACTCATAGCAAAGAAAAGGGAAGTGGGCTTGGGGAGGGAAATGGATGGAGCCATTGCCCTGTAAGAAGGCAGGAGAGACTGTGTGAGCAGATTATATCCTGCCTTAGTTTCTGCAGACACAATGGGTAGAACATGACTGCCTCATAGAATGTTGTGAGATAGTAGAAGGGTATTTAAGAATCCCAGCTTTGGCCGGGCGTTGGTGGCGCACGCCTTTAATCCCAGCACTCGGGAGGCAGAGGCAGGCGGATCTCTGTAAATTCGAGAGCAGCCTGGACTACCAAGCGAATTCCAGGACAGCCTCCAAAGCCATAGAGAAACCCTGTCTCGAAAAAAAAAAAAAAAAAAAGAATCCCAGCTTTGAGCCGGACGTTGGTGGCACATGCCTTTTTTTTTTTTTTGGTTTTACGAGACAGGGTTTCTCTGTATCGTTTTGGAGGCTGTCGGTCCAGCCTGGCCTCGAACTCACAGATTAAAGGCTTTAATCCCAGCACTCGGGAGGCAGAGGCAGGCAGATCTCTGTGAGTTCGAGGCCAGCCTGGTCTACAGAGCGAGTTCCAGGACAGCCTCCAAAACAATACAGAGAAACTCTGTCTCGAAAAACAAAAACCAAACAAACAAAAAAAGAATCCCAGCTTTGGCCCTCCATAAACTGTGGGTTCCTGGGCAAGGCATGGGCCTTCTTTGAGAGTAGAAAATTACTGGGAATGCCTGGGCCTCATGAAAACACTCAGGCAGATGTTCAATAAAGCGGACAAGCCCAGTCATACCCCCAATGTTGGTCAAGTAGTCCCAAATTGGGAGCACCAGAGAGAGCTTTAGCTACAGGAAAGGGCCTGGCCTCACCTTGTCTAACACCTTCCTGGCCATCCAGCACTTGGCCACGCCCAGCAGCACATGGACCTGCCCCAGGCGGTTTCCAATCTCCGTCATAATGCTCATAGCAGAGTCGTACCTAGGGAAGGCTGTCTGCAAAGCCAGGCAGGGTTGGATTGGGGTGATCCAGGCCCAAGACCCCCCACCTCATCCCGGTGGTCTCACCTCCAGGTCCCCACGGCTTCGGTGAATATCAGCAAAGCAGAGCAGACAGAGTGCCTGCAGTGGTCGGTCCCCATGCTGCAGGGCGATCTTCATGGACTCCTGCAAGGGAGGCTGGTCCCTCAGGCAAGCTGATGTCATCTACTATGGGGTATCCTATACCCAGCAGCCCCTCAGATGGGACAGCTAGCGTTACCACATCCTCAGAAACTAATACATTGTTGCAGTTGAACCTTAGTGGTTCTATGAGAACCACTAAGATCATAGTACTGTCTGAACCACTAAGGTCACAGTACTGTCTGAAGCACTAAGATCACAGTACTGTCTGATGGAAACAGGCTCAGAAAGAAGCATCTTTATTGGGACCAGAGGAAGAAGCAATGGGATTTGAGCCTGAGTGGGGGATCTTCAAGACTGTCCCTCTCTCTCTTTCTCTTTTGTTTTTTCTTTTTTTAAAAGACAGACTTATAGGGGCTGGAGAGGTGGCTCAGAGGTTAAGAGCACTGGCTGTTCTTCCAGAGGACCTGGGTTCAATTCCCAGCACTCACATGGCAGCTCACAACTGTTTGTAACTCCGGGGTCTGACACCCTCAAACAAGATATACATGCAGGCAAAATACTGATGCAAATAAAATGAAAATAAATACATTATTTTTTTAAAAGACAGACTCATATAGCCCAGTTAGGTCTTGAACTTCTGATTCTTCTCCACCTTCCAAATGCTGGGTTTTACGTAGGACTATAGATTGAGCCCAGGGCTTTGCTGTTTTGAGACAGGGTTTCTCTGTGTAGTCCTGGGTGTCCTGGAACTCACTCTGTAGACCAGGCTGAGAGATCCGCTTGCCTCTGCCTCCTGAGTACTGAGATTAAAGGCGTGCTCCGCTGCTGCTACCGCCATCTGGCTGAACCCAGGGCCTTGTGAACCTTAGGGAAACACTCTACCAACTGAGTTACATCCTAGCACTCATATTTTCATTTTCAAGCCCCCCCAGAGGCTGCCGGGGACAGGGAGGCTCCTTGCCCTGAAGATGGACTGGAAGGGAATAAGTTCTGGGGCAGAATTTGTGATGGAAATAGTCTCTTCGGTGGCTAATGGCAAGGTGTGTGTGTGTGATTCTGTGGAGGGGCCCAGTGTCCTGAGCCTGAGGTCCTCCCACCCCGACACCTGCATGCTTCACAGCTTCCCCACCTCACAACACTCCATGGCGCTGCCCAGGTGGCCTAGCAGGCGGTAGGCCACAGCCATGTGGTACTGGCTCATGGCCCGATACTTGAGGCTCCAGCCTTTGCCATAGTCGTTGACAAGCTCTGCAGCCTTGCAGGGAAAGAACAGGGCTTTCTCATAATCCTGCAGCGACACAGAACAGGAGGGGGACACACTGAGTGGTAGGAATTGTCCTAAACTCAGGGCTCCAGACCTGGGTTCTCTGACAGCCAGGGAGCCCCATTTTTTTAAATGTTGCTCAGTCTAGCTGCAAACTTGTAGTCCTCCCCATTATGCTTCCTGAGTACTGGGGTCACAGAGATGCATCACCGTGACCACAGCCAGCTCATTCATTCATTCTGGCCTCCAGTGGTAAGCATCATCCAGGCAGAAGGGGGAGCCAGGGCACAGGCATGGCCTCATGGGATTGTTGCTGTATGATGCCCAATACATATTTCTTCATTGGATGAAAAAGCAAAAACACAGCTGGCTTCCCCTCTCATCCAGTCCCAGATGGGCCTCTAGGCTGCAGAGCCACACAGGGAGAGGTTTATCAGAGCTCTCAGGGGCAGCAGCTCCTCAGGCCTGAGACAGTTCCGTCAGCATCAGCACCAGAGAACATCGGAACAGGCTTGGCGCTCCCATGAAACCCTTCTGAATGCTTCCCCCTCAAACCCACAAAAGCAACCCCCATAAAGAGCCAACACCCTTGCCTCCCACTCATCGGGAAAGGAGGAGCTCAGAGGAGGGCCCTGCCCACTCTTAACCACATCTGCCCTACAACCATGGGAACCAACCCCAGGCCCCAGCCCTTACGTCTACATCATTAAGTCTCTACCGAATCATCTCCTACACACAAATATGTCCTGACAGTTCTCACCTCACTTACAACCTAACTCATTTGGCAACCCAGCTCCCAGAAAGTGGAGGCAGGAGAATCAGGAGTTCAAGGCCAGCTTTGGCTATGTGTGGAATGTGAGGTCAATCTGGATACATGAGACCCTGTACTTAACCAACCAACCAATCAAATAAATGGACCAACATTTTCTATCTTTGAGAAAGAAGGATTGAGTTTACAATCGGTGGAAAGCAACTCCTAAACACTATGAACTCCAGTTGTTCTGGCACCTGTAAAGGTTCAGCAGCACAGACAGCGGTGAATGCCTTGGGACCCATCTAGACTTCAAACACCATTGTCTGCTGAAGAGAACCTGAGGGAACAGCAGGTTTCACACCTAGCCCAAAAGGATGTTCAGAATGAGACTGTGGCTCTTTATTGTGTCAAATAAACAGAAAGTAAATACAACACTTGTATGGGGTCAAGGTTGGAGGGGCTTCTATTGGGCAAAGTTAAGATAATACAAGCCAGGCAGTGGCGCTCGCCTTTAATCCCAGCATTCAGGAGGCCGAGTCAGGATCTCTGAGTTCAAGGCCAACCTAGTCTACAGAATGAGTTCCAGGACATCCAGAGCTACACAGAGAAACCCTGTCTCAAAACAGCAAAAAGCAAAAAACAAACAAACAAACAAAATACAAACAGGGCTGGGAGATGGCTCAGTAATGTACACACACACACACACACACACACACACACACACACACACACACCACACTAAATTTAAAAAAGAGAATTCAAACATCAAAAACTAACAATGCAAGGTTGTGGATATAGCTCTGTGGGAGACTTGTCTACCATAATGGAAGGTTCTGGATTTCACGCCCCCGGCACTAGGAGGAAAAAAAATGACTCTGATTTCACAGCAATATGCCAAAAAAAGAAGGCAGAAGTCGGAATGCCCTGACCACAGCTGTGATGCCCTTGCTCTGAAAGCTAACTGAAGGGAAGCAGGGAAGCCCTCGTGTTTACATTGGAGCTGCACCTCAGAGTAACACGTAGCCCTCGCTGATGAAGAAAATGGCTCATAGGAAAAAGAAATTGCTGCTAATCAATGAAGACAAGGGTGTCAGTATTTCACAGCATTCACATGTAACTATGGACTCTGGCAACACCTAGGGACTCTGAAACCATGAGGGAAAGTGCTACAACTCAGTCTGAGGCTGGGTAAACAAGCTGGGTGTGAATAGGGCAACTTCAGCCTTGAAGGCAGGAGGACCTACTCACTGTCACTCCCTGAACCACGCTAATAGGCCTATGTAGGGCTGGGGACCCCAAGCGGGGCACACTAGGCAAGTACTCTACCAACAGGGTGCCTCCCAGCCGCCTAAGCCTTTCCCCCTTAAGATTCACTTATTTATTTGATGTGTACAGCTGCTTTGCCAAATGTGTGTCTTACACCACAAGCATGAGTGCCTCTGGAGGCTGGGTGTGTGGGACACCTCTGGAACTGGAGTTACAGACAGTTGTGAGCTGGGAATTGAATCCAAGGTCAGAAAGAGCAGTCGGTGCTGAGTCATCTTAACAGTCGTCCATAGCTTTTCTTCTTTCTTTTTTAATTTTATTTTTATGTTTTTGTTTTGTTTTTTTTTTTGTTTTTTTAGACAAGGTTTCTCTGAGTTGCCCTGGCCATCCTGGAACTCCAGACTGGCCTCAAACTCAGAGAGATCCACTTGGTTCTGCCTCCCAAGTGCTGGGCTTAAAGGCGTGTGCCAGTACCGCCCTGCACATGGCTACATGGCTTACTTTTTATTCTTGGTTTTTGTTCTTTTTCTTTGAGACAGGGTCTCATTCTACAGCTATGGCTATCATGAAACTCACTATGTAAACCAGGCTAGCCCTAAACTCACAGAGATCTGGGATTAAAGGCATCCATCACAATTCTAATTTTGTATTTTTTTTCAGCAGATTACTATTTTTCTTCAATATTTGGTGTGTGTGTGTGTGTGTGTGTGTACTGTCAACTGTCACCCTCACATATTGTTCCTTTTCACATTTCCTTTTCTGACTGCCTGGTCCCAAATAACTGACTCAGAGGCTGAATATGAATTATAAATGCCCATCTGATAGCTCAAGCTTATTACTAACTAGCTCTTACAACTTAACCCATTTCTATTAATCTATGTGCTGCCCTGCTTATGGCTTTGACCTGCATCCCATTTCGTGGATCCAACTCATTCTGCATCTGGCTGTCAACCCTTCTCACTCCATCCTTCTTCCCTTCATTCTCAGACTGACTTTCCCTCCTAACTTCCTGTCCAGCTACCACCCTGTCAGCTTCTTATTAAACCAATCACAGTGACAAATCTTCAGTGTACAAAAGGATTTTCTACAACAGTTCCTTGGTCTCATTTGACTTCCTTTTTTTGGGGGGCAGTGGTCCCCATAGATCATGCTTGTCTCCACCCTCAACACACAGAGGCTTTTTCACATGGGTTCTTTTTTTTTTTCTTTTTTCTTTTTTTGGTTTTCGGAGACAGGGTTTCTCTGTGGCTTTGAAGACTGTCCTGGAACTAGCTCTTATAGACCAGGCTGGTCTGGAACTCAGAGAGATCCGCCTGCCTCTGTCTCCCGAGTGCTGGGATTAAAGGTGTGCACCACCACCGGCCAGCTTCACATGGGTTCTAAAAGTTGATTTAGGTCCTCAGGCTTGCATAGCAAGCACTTTTCCAGGGTAGTTACCTCTCCAGCCCCACAGCTTCACACAGTATAAAAAGAAGGGCTTAGGCAGGTGGATAGCTTAGTGAATGAAGGTGCTTTCAACCAAGCCTGACAACCTGAGTTGGAGCCCTGGAGTCAGCTTTTAATTGAAATAGGACAGCATAAAACAACAGTCTATGCCCACTCATAGCTAAAACACAGCTAAATTCTTATAAAACAGGATCCAGAAAGCTGAGAAGGAAATAGGCTCAGAGATTTCTGAACTTTGGCTACAGACAGAGGGCACTGCAGGAGGGGACTGCCATGCACCAGCCAGTGACGAGTGACGAGTGTGTGCAGACTGCGTGTTGTCACTGGCCTCCTCCTTTGCGTTCTCCTTCTCCTGCTCAGTCAGGCTCCTGGGAACAACCTTACAGATCCATCAACTGGTAACTTAAAAGACAGGCCAGTAAGCAAGTTACAAAGTCATTTACACGATGGGGGGTGGGGAAGAGCAGACAAAAACAGCTTGAAGCAGGAAAAGAGAAACAAGTGAATGGGGAATCTCTCTCCATTTCCCATTGCTCACAATATTTGTAAAGGTCCCAAGTAATATTAGGATCTATGGCGCCATTGGGCTTCCCTTTGGATTGATTGTCTAAGGGGTACTGAGGTCAAACTTGATTGCAAAAGCGGATAAATATAGGGCCCCTCATGTTTTGTGCCAGGTGTAGAGGCTGGAGGTTTTCTAAGAGGCAACCTAGGGGAGAATGAGAGGGTATGGGAGACACTGTTCTGGTAGGGAGAGAGGCGAAGGGAAATGTCACTGTAGCCTGTAGGCATCTCCAGGACTCAGGGAGTACCAGAAACAGGGGCCAAGCCATTCCGTGGGTAATCACCACACTAAACGGGGGCCAGGAGCTTAGCTTGGCTAAGCCAGAGGAGAAACTTGGCGCCTGGTACCTGGGCTTCCGTAGAGACCAGAAGCGAGCAGGCAAGCATGAAAACCAAGCTGTAAAACGGGGGTGGGGGTGGGGGATATCTCATCCACAGGGAATTTTGAGAATGTCCTCACAAAAGCCATGAGAGCCTAGAGGAGCTGTGGGATTACAGGCAGCTCTGAAGGGAGTAGGGAGAAGAGGGCAGCAAGGGGCACCACAGCCCCATTGGGTCTAAGGAAACGGCAGGATTGCAGCTCCAAGTGATGGAGTCAGGTGTAGAGGGCCAGCCATAGCCTTAAAGACTGTGACTGGGCGTGCCTCCGCCTCCAAGAGTACCAGGGGGACGCTGAACTCAGTGGTCACTTCCTTGGACTCACGGAAATGTTTACACGGACCAAAAGGGAAACTTATCTAATCACCATTGGTGGATGGGTGCTGAGCAGTCAGTGATCCGCTAGATGTGTCTGTTCCGGTGGACTGGGGATGAGGGGTAGGGTCCCAGTGCAGTTTAGGCCCCTGAGGACAAGCACAAGACTAGGAGAGTCTATCCTGGGTGCTGGCATCAAATGTAGGCATTATAGCTCAGATGGAAAGGTATTCTGGCAGTCGGGGGCCAGGGAATGCCACGAAGTTACACTGTACAACAAACCTCACATGAGATTTATCAC